AGCATGAATAAATTAAGATTATTAAGACCTCAGAAACGGGGAAGAACAGGAACAGTTAGCTGGAACAGCCACGTAACTGCAGAAGAGCTGTTTGCGAGTAGGTGGAGGAAGAATTCACAAAATACACCTGTTCAAATACCTCCATTGCTCAACTTCTTCCTTCTACACGCAACAACCAACCACAGCTTCCCAGAGAACAAGTTATATGACTCAACCCTGCAGGTTGTTTTCTTTTGCACACACCTGTAAGAAAGAATTCCTGTTAACTACTGAAGGTTTTGTAGTTTTCCACCATGAAGTCAGGAGCGAACAAACCAGAGCTAAACACTCTTAGATGGTCAGCTCTTTGAGACCGTTTACTTTATGTCCACAGAGTGCCAAGCAGAACTGAACCTCTAGCTGCTACCACAACAGAAACAATAATTTATGAACACTAATATGAAACTCAGTTTGACACTGGTAAGTTTATTTTGTCCTAACTCAGCAACAAGCCAACAGAGAGATCAGTTTTCTAACGTGACTGACTTTGATTTGCTTGTGTTCTTCCCAGCATAAAATCATACAAAGATTTCAAGTATTACAATGTTACTCAGCACATCCTGGTTCCAACCCACTTTCTACAGGAGAGGAGGAGGGTGAATGCAATATACTTGCTGTAGTTACGCTGCAGAGAGAAAAAAAAAATACCAGGATCCCACCAGGCAGATGCAGACTTCTTGCACGCTGCAGAGCTGTGTTCTGCCAAGGCTTCCATCAATCCAACATAACATGGATTTTGGGGAGAGGAGGGGCTGGATCCACAAACCAATCCCCCATTCCCTCCAGGCCATCCAACCACACTGTGCAGGGCTCCAGCTGCACAAGCGGCCACAGAGTGGTTCCATGGCCCAGAATTCCATCTAATCCTAATTCTTGGGGACCCAGCCCATTTATTTGGGCTTTACCCTAGGGCTGAACTCTGGCCTCAGCATTAAGCAAAGACTTCTCTCATTTGTACACTCCAGTTGGGTAACTGCACCACAACTGCCCACAATGCACCATCTGCACACACATGCAAGAGACACACCCTTTGAAAACTTGACAGAATGAGCCTAATCCCTGCTGCACCAGAGGAAACCTACTCCCAACCTAAATTACTACTCTAGAAAGTTTTCACCCCATTTTCCTGCTTTGAGTTTATTTTAAAATTGGGGTGGAAAACACACTCAGGGAAGTTTGGGGGTTTTTAATGACGCCTTCAGTATCTCTTCCAAAATCATAGCAGTTTCCTAACACCACAACCTGATAAAAAAGATGTTTTATCCAAAGTACGGTGTTCAAGAAGGGATGTCAACAGAGTCAAATGGGAGAGATCAAGTCTGATATGGGCTGGAGTTTCAAAACCTAGAGACAAGACTCTCCTGTCACTTCTCTAATCATCAATACTGGACAACATACACACAAATAGGTAGGCATGCTATAAATGAAGGGGTTTTATTCCTGATGAACACTGGATGAAATAAGTTACCCCCAGTTACACAGTTGCACATTCTTATATGCTTCCCTACATTTCCTTCACTCTAGCACCTACACTGACATAACCCTGTGATGTTCAGTCTACCAAAATCACAAAGGAAAAATCAGGATGCCAGGTGTATACCAGGCAGTGGAAGACAGGGAGTTAGCAGTTCATACTTAGAGATTATTGGGACTATTGGGAAATTATTTTCAAGTCAAAACTCAAGGCTTTGCTCCACCCACCTGGACACAATGCTTTACAGCACATAAACATTCATATTATGGCAATTATTTCAAGAGAGCTTATTCATGTTTTAGCTAATGAAACAGAACAATACTTCTTCCTTACAAATACAGAATGCTCTGGAAAGGGATGGGAACAAACAATTCAAAAGTATAAGCATTCTATTTTCCATTTTAACCACCCCTTTCTGACCAGCGCATCTAGGACATTTTACAAATGACATACGATCGGCCAGGGGCTGGCCAAAATTTGCCTTCTCACCCACTTCCATCCCCTCTGTCCCAAGTGCCTTTACTCCAGAGGAAGATGCATTTCAGCTTTTCTGGCTTTAGGCTATGTCTACTTTGCCACCTACATCGGCAAAACTTACGTCACTCAAGAGTGTGAATATTCTACCCCCTGAGCAACATAAGTTACGTCGGCATAAGTGTTCGTGGGCACAGCGCTATGGCAGCAGGAGAGCTTCTCCCGCCCACATAGCTTTTGCTGTTCACAGGGGGTGGGTTTTTTATGTCTCTCTCCTGACATAGTGTCTTCACCAGATGTGATGCAGCTATATCGGTACAGCTGCGCCGCTGTACGGGTAGACATGGCCTAAGACAGTACTTCTCAAAGTTTTGTACTCATGACCCCGTTCACATAGCAAGCCTCTGAGTGCAACCCCCCTTATAAATTAAAATCTTTTTTTATATATTTAACACCATTATAAATACTGGAGGCAAAGCAGGGTTTGGAGTGGAGGCTGACAGCTCGTGACCCCTCAAATAATAACCTCACAACCCCCTGAAGGGTCCCGACCCCCAGTTTGAGAACCCCTGGCCTAAGAGAAAAGGCCATGAGAGCGTCAACTTCTACGTGGACTGGTCAGGGACTCACTTTTTCAGGTCACATCCCAGAGAACCGCACCCACAACCCAGAAAGGTGATAGCGCTGCTGTGATCAAGGGCTTTCAGGGCATATGGTAGCCCAGCACTGATTCACCTTACTAGTCACATGCAAATACGGCCTAAGGAAACCTCTGGAAACCGTCAGCAGAGAGACACTGTGTTAGCGCTACTGTTGGGGTGGGGACAAAGAGGAGCCCCCGACCTGGGGGTGTACAAAGGGCAGTGACCCCCGCCCCGGTCTCCATGGGGGAGAGCCCCCGCCCCACCGGGGGTTGTACAGAGAGCAGCGCCCTCCTCCCCGGTCTCCATGGGGGAGAGCCCCCGCCCCACCGGGGGGTGTACAGAGAGCAGTGCCCCTCCCCCCGGTCTCCATGGGGGAGAGCCCCCGCCCCACCGGGGGTTGTACAGAGAGCAGCGCCCTCCTCCCCTGTCTCCATGGGGGAGAGCCCCCGCCCCACCGGGGGGTGTACAGAGAGCAGTGCCCCTCCCCCCGGTCTCCATGGGGGAGAGCCCCCGCCCCACCGGGGGGTGTACAGAGAGCAGTGCCCCTCCCCCCGGTCTCCATGGGGGAGAGCCCCCGCCCCACCGGGGGGTGTACAGAGAGCAGTGCCCCTCCCCCGGTCTCCATGGGGGAGAGCCCCCGACCTGGGGGTGTACAGAGAGCAGCGCCCCCCCACCGGTCTCCATGGGGGAGAACCCCCGACCTGGGGGTGTACAGAGAGCAGCGCCCCCCCCGGTCTCCATGGGGGAGAGCCCCCGCCCCACCGGGGGGTGTACAGAGAGCAGCGCCCTCCTCTCCTGTCTCCATGGGGGAGAGCCCCCGCCCCACCGGGGTGGTGTGTACAGAGAGCAGTGCCCCTCCCCCCGGTCTCCATGGGGGAGAGCCCCCGCCCCACCGGGGGGTGTACAGAGAGCAGCGCCCTCCTCTCCTGTCTCCATGGGGGAGAGCCCCCGCCCCACCGGGGGGTGTACAGAGAGCAGTGCCCCTCCCCCCGGTCTCCATGGGGGAGAGCCCCCGCCCCACCGGGGGGTGTACAGAGAGCAGTGCCCCTCCCCCCGGTCTCCATGGGGGAGAGTCCCCGACCTGGGGGTGTACAGAGAGCAGCGCCCCCCACCCGGTCTCAATGGGGGAGAACCCCCGACCTGGGGGTGTACAGAGAGCAGCGCCCCCCCGGTCTCCATGGGGGAGAGCCCCCGCCCCACCGGGGGGTGTACAGAGAGCAGCGCCCTCCTCTCCTGTCTCCATGGGGGAGAGCCCCCGACCTGGGGGTGTACAGAGAGCAGCGCCCCCCCACCGGTCTCCATGGGGGAGAGCCCCCGACCTGGGGGTGTACAGAGAGCAGCGCCCCCCCGGTCTCCATGGGGGAGAGCCCCCGCCCCACCGGGGGGTGTACAGAGAGCAGTGCCCCCCCCCGCTCTCCATGGGGGAGAGCCCCCACCCCACCGGGGGGTGTACAGAGAGCAGTGCCCCTCCCCCCGGTCTCCATGGGGGAGAGCCCCCGCCCCACCGGGGGGTGTACAGAGAGCAGTGCCCCTCCCCCCGGTCTCCATGGGGGAGAGCCCCCGCCCCACCGGGGGGTGTACAGAGAGCAGTGCCCCTCCCCCCGGTCTCCATGGGGGAGAGCCCCCGACCTGGGGGTGTACAGAGAGCAGCGCCCCCCCCACCGGTCTCCATGGGGGAGAACCCCCGACCTGGGGGTGTACAGAGAGCAGCGCCCCCCCCCCGGTCTCCATGGGGGAGAGCCCCCGCCCCACCGGGGGGTGTACAGAGAGCAGCGCCCTCCTCTCCTGTCTCCATGGGGGAGAGTCCCCGACCTGGGGGTGTACAGAGAGCAGCGCCCCCCCACCGGTCTCCATGGGGGAGAGCCCCCCCCCACCGGGGGTGTACAGAGAGCAGTGCCCCTCCCCCGGTCTCCATGGGGGGGTCCCCGACCTGGGGGTGTACAGAGAGCAGCGCCCCCCACCGGTCTCCATGGGGGAGCCCCCCCCCACCGGGGGTGTACAGAGGCAGCGCCCCCCCGGTCTCCATGGGGGAGAGCCCCCGCCCCACCGGGGGGTGTACAGAGAGCAGTGCCCCTCCCCCCCGGTCTCCATGGGGGAGAGCCCCCGCCCCACCGGGGGTTGTACAGAGAGCAGCGCCCTCCTCCCCTGTCTCCATGGGGGAGAGCCCCCGACCTGGGGGTGTACAGAGAGCAGCGCCCCCCCCGCTCTCCATGGGGGAGAGCCCCCGCCCCACCGGGGGGTGTACAGAGAGCAGTGCCCCCCCCCGCTCTCCATGGGGGAGAGCCCCCCCACCTTGGGGGGTACAGCGGGCAGCGCCCCCCAGCCAGGGTCCCTCCTCCCCAACGAGCGCCCAGCCCCCCGGCCGGTACCTGCAGACCCGCAGCAGCAGGCAGCCGATGAGGCCGGCGCTGAGGACACACGCCCCGATCACGGCGGCCTTGAGCGCGGACAGGTCCCGGAGCAGCGCGGGCAGCAGGCTGACCTGGGCGCCGCTGTGGTTCCCGGGGGCGCCCAGCGGCTCCGGCGGCGGCCGGGTGGCGTTGGCGGGGCCCTGCGCGGCCTGTGGCGGCCCCGGCGCGGGGGGCTCCCGGCGGCCCCGGACGGGGAGCGCGGCCAGGAGCAGCAGCAGCAGCAAAAGCGGCGGCGGGCCGGCGAGGCGCATCCTGCCCGGGCTCCGGGCTCCACTCCGCCTGCGACACCGCGCCCGGCCCTCGGCTCTGGGAGCCGCGGCGACGCCGCCTCCCGGCCGGGTCCGCCCCCACCCTGCACGGCCAGCCCCCGCCCTGCCTCCTACACTCACAGCCCTCGCAGGGCCTGGGTGAAAGGGGGCGGCTATACAGCCCGGGGAGGGGAGAGAGAGAACCAGCCTTGGGGGACCCCCCCCCCGCGTGCCTACACCCCCCCAGCATAGACACTGCCCTGGGAGGGACCCCTGACCCCGGTTCTACAGCTCCCAGCCAAACTGCAGACTGACCCCTCACATCCACCCCCATCAGCTGCAGGGAGCTCAGGCTCAGGCCTGCCCCCACCACCAGGCTACAGGGGCCTTTGGTGTAAAGTTTGGGGTGCCAGTTTTGGTTGGACCTATTCCTGGAGGTTTCATGACATGACATAATCTTCCATTAAAGATTAATCTGTAATTCCTGGAGAGTCCAGCACAGTCCTGGAGGGTTGGCAGCCCTATATAATGTGCTCCTGTTATCCCAGCACCTTCCCAAGCTAAAACAATAGCTACTGGGGATTGTAATAAGCCAGGCCCCCAGTGAGTAACACCTCTCACACGTGCCTTCTCTCCCTGGGGAAGAGTTGTTCTCTTATTGATGCTGGGTCAACGCCTGGCATCCTGTCACGTGCCAATAGTAACACGTCCCAGAGACAGCCACTTTTTTCTAACACTGAACAAGGAACTTAGCGTTAAGAATAGAATTATCCTTAAACTACCCAGTCTGTGCAGAGCTGCTTAGAGCCTCCTGCAACCCACCTGCTTGGCTTCCTGGTACAGTTTTAAAGAAATAGTACAGACTGCCATGCAGATCTTTCCTGTCCTGTACACCCCATACCCCTTGGAGCTCTCCTGTGTACCTCCTTTGCCCCCAAATACCTTTGTCCGTTTGCTGGACCCCACCCCACTCCGGGTTCCCTTTTCATGGCCTCAATTCCAAGGTTGGCAGGGGGTTCACAGGATATTTTTGCAGAAGCCACTGGACTGACCAAGACTCCCTCCCATTTTCTCCTTTCTAGTTGCTCTTCCAATTCGAGCTCTGTCTCTCTCAAAGGGAGAAAAGACCAAGGAAGTATAGTCATAGGTGCTGGAATTATGGGTACTGGAGGTGCTGCAGCACCCCCTGACTTGAAGTGATTTCCCTTATATACAGAATTTACAGTTTGGTTCAGTGGCTCTCAGCACCCCACACTAAAAATTGTTCCAGAACCGCTCTGTATAATGGGGGGAAGATATTGTGGGAGTCTGCCATGTCTACTTGCTTACCCACCTAATAAGTATGGGGGGAGAGGGGGGCTGCTTGCAGAATGGAGGTATTGAACCATCTGGACCTGCTTATGAGAATAAAGTTACTCACATGCTTAATTGTTTAGAGAGTGCCAAAAGCACTTCCTGCCTGGCAAGGTTTAGTGGGTTAAAGGCTGTGATAGTAACCACTAGTACATCCACATACCGGGGAACCACTACTTGCTAAGTGTGGAGTTCGGAATGCCTGTACTTCCTCAGCAACAGCTGCAGGTCACGCCATTGCAAGTAAATGAGGGACAAGATGATTTTCAGTACATGCGTAGGGTTTTTTAAAGGCACATCTTCGCATTCTCATTTGGAATCATGAGGCTCGATCCTGCAAATGATTCTGTGCAGGCGAGCCACAGCACCCATGTACTTCGTGGAGCTCTGGGCGGGTGCAGGAGGCTAGCCCTTGAAACTGTTTCTGTTATCATTATTATTTCAAATGTTTTGCAATTCACCATTCACAGCAGCTGGGCAGGTTTCCTAAAAGCTTGGGCCGCATCGAAAAACATCCTGTTTATGACATGTACGTTTTCTGTACATGTCATATGTTTGGGAAGGAGGGAGGGAGCTGTCACTGAATGAAGAAAAGAGAGACTTTTCCTATTAGGCTTTATGATGCCATGACAACTTTCTAAGGTTAGTGTGTCAGTGTAATATTTAAAAGTGGGTGTCACGGCACTGTGCCAAACAGAGATACTGATCTTTAACCCTATGCAGTATCCCGCAGGGGAGACAGCTGAGATGCAGCAATGAAATAATGCCTGTTTTTATAGACCTTTCCAGCCAATCAGAATGCTGTATCAAATGCCACCCACTCTATGATAAAGACACATTGTGTTTTTATGGGAATTTCTGCAGGATGAGGAAGTACTGACGTATGTAATGGGCAAAAGGCCCCCGAATTGTTTGAATTGGTCAGTGTTCCATCTGCTTCTCGCTACTTGCCTTTGTAACAATTTCTCAGTTTCTGATGTGGGGCCCCAGTTTGTCTCTCTGTAGCCAAAAAAACAAACCATCTGGACAGGAGGTCAAAATGGTAATACAGACTTTTCCGAAACGTTTGTGTGAGCAGCCCTTGCACGATTTATTGTTTGTAAACAATGACCCCAGCTCTGGGCCCAGCCCAGCTGCTGCCCCACCTCAGATTTCCGTTTGTCTGATACTGTTGTTTTTCATGAAATGCAGTGCTCCTCCATAGGCAGGAGTAAGGGATGTGGGGTTTCCAGTGTGACAGCCTCTAGCTCGTATCACAGGATGCAGAGCACCAAACTGTATCTCATGACAAAGAAGTGCCCCATCCCCTACTATGTTAGCTGGGTTCTGTCAGAGCAAACTGCCCCACGGCATTGTTACATTAAAGTTTCAATGCTGTTCACTTAAACTGTCAAGCTACACACCCTGTTCTTTATGCAACAGCAGCAGCTCTACGCCTGGGTTCGATGTACCATGCTCATCTAGAGGGACGGGAGTATGGCATGTTGTTCTCCTTCAGCTGGCTCTTCCTGGTGGACTCTTCAAGAAGCTGTATCCAATGATTCTAGCAGAGTATGGGTCACTGCCACACTGGGCTTTTGGGGAAGGACAAGCGGGTAAGAGGGGGACTGTCACCATCACAAACAACAGCTTCGTTCAGTAAAACAAGCCAGTAGAAGCATAACCCAGGGGTTAGGTAGTAAATTCCTTTTAAAAATCTCTATTGACTATTTTTATATTATTCATTATACAGCTGCGATCAGAGGCCAGTGGTGCTGAGCACTGGACCTACACACAGTAAGAGACAGGCCCTGACCTGAAGAATCTACGCTAATAGTCCTTGTTTATTCAACGCCCAAAATCGTGCTAGGTGTTTTACAAACCTACAGTTAGATGTAGTATGGTGCTAGGGCATTGATCTAGGTTCCTCTGTATCATCCATTCTTGTGCTCCTGTCACCTCCAGTTTTCTGCTACCTGAGAACGATAAAGCAGCCAGCTGGAGATCCAGGATCTGTCCCATGATATTGACAGTGCCTCTGCCACCTGTTCCCCTGTTTGTTTTTTGTTGCTATTGTTTAATTTTCGTTCCTTTTACTGTTCACCTGCCAGATGCTTCCATCTCCTAAAACCTGAGCTTAAAGCCAGTAGGGCACATTAATACACAATGTCACCACTGAGTTCCTCTGTTAGACAAGGCACAGTCGTGCCCATGCATGTAGTGTTAAATGTATTGCAGGCGGCATGGAAAAGATGTAGCTTGAGATTCTCCTTGTTTGCTTTTGGCAGTTTTATGAAGTAATTTTTTGTTGTTGGGCTGTGCTGACGCGATTGAAGTGGGATCTTGCTGTAGAATGAAGACAATGAAGTTGTTATCCGGTTGTGGAATGTAGTTAACTCCATTTTACCTTTGTCCTTCCAATGATCTCTTTCATGTCCCCCTAATGATCAGCTTCCATATCTAGCTGGGACTCACTGGCCTCCGTTTCCAGTGCTCATTTTGCAGTCGGCTGGTTTCTTGTGATTTGTTGTATATTCTTTCCTTGCACTCAGTGAATCTCTGATCCAGTCCTGCCTGGAAACCCACACCACCAATTGAGTCTGGAAATGAGTCCTGGTAGAGGAGAGGTAATTCATTTGTCCAGTCATCTCAGCCCCACGAACCACAAGGAACACATAGGTCAGACTCTAGCTTTTGGAAAGAGCTCTGGGAGGTGGGCAGACATGCAGAGCTGGGCCAGTGCAGAAAGCTTTGGAGTGCTTGTAGAGAATGTGCAGGAACTGGGCTTAGAGTCTGATCCAAAGGCCACTGAGGTCAACAGGAATCTTTCCACAGACGTCAATGGACGCTGGATCAGGCCCTTCATGTTGCCATGAGGAAATCAGCATGTGCTTCCTTGTGCCTGCTGCCAGACACTAGCCTCAAGCAGATGGGGCAGGGCTCCAACCCAGCACTCCATGACTGCACATCCTTTGGACGGATAATATGAGGTTGAATTTCTCACTCAGTAATTCCACTAGTTGTTTTGACAAAGTAGAAAGAAGAGGATCATCTCCCTCTGTGCTGCCTTTAAGCATGTTATTTGGTGCCTGGTGGCCCCATGTTTATTCTCCAGGGTCTCCATTCTGCAAAGCAGTAGGACGTTATTCTGTGCCAGCATATTGGATAATGCAAAGGAACTATTCCAATTCCAATTGAATTTGATCTTATTCCTTCATTAGGACAGGTTGGGTTGTTTCCCTGTCTGTTCCACAGAAATCTCAAGTGACTGAATCTTAAGAGAAATAATATCTAAACCCAGCTCCATTTTTGTTATGAGCTGACACAAGGTATTTAATGTAACATCTTGCTCACTGGATGGCTAAAAAGCCAAACCAATAACCCTGTAGAGAATTGCTATCCTTACTTTACATGTGGGGAACTAAGAGATAAAGTAATTTTGCCAGGTCACAAAGGCAGTGTGTAGTGAGGTATGGAATTAAATCTGGGTGTTCTGGTCTGGTACCGTAACTATTGGACCATCCTTCCAACTCTGGGTGGTGTGTGAAATGAGCTGATGGTCCTTTGCTGGGAAAGCACTTGCTTGTACCAAAATGGCCTTTTTATACTCTTTCCCTTTCCCCTCCTACAGATCAGCAACTGTGCGGGGGTGGGGGCAAGTGCTTTTATATCAGAAGGCCTTTTATTGATTATTTCATGTTCTGAATGCAACAAGTGTTTTACAACTGTATTGTATTATAAGCTGCCTAGCAAATCT